TCCTCCCAGCCATTGGCTGGGTCCCCATGTCCTCTCTCCGGTCCTCTGCAAAACACACTCCCTCTCCCCTCACCTCGTTAAACCAGTAACACCCAGGGAAACTGAGTCCCACCCCCTCTGCATGCAAACCATTGACATTCCACAGAAAACGAGAAAACCCCCCACTTCGTCACAGTACTCTAGTTTCCTTTTTGTCCCTACTACTTCAGCAGAAAACAGTTTTGCTTGACCAAACATATCACTGGCTCTTGAGCAGAAATATTCTGGTCCTTCTGGCACACAGGCCTAACATGTTACCATACTTATTCTGGGGTAGAGGTAGTTCTCCTGCCAGAGTTCATCAATCTCATTCCTGTGTATCTGTATGATTGCCAGTGGAGTTGTGTTCACCCCTTAGCGGGTAGTCTACTCCGAACCATTACTAGGTCTTCTGTTGAGATCAGTCTATTGCATGAGCCCCCTGAAGGGCAAATAAACCTAAAACCCAACCTTAGGGAATTAGTAATATACCACTGAAAGATCTGACTTGATTCCAGATTGCTAGAATTTAGGCCTACCCATTTGATAGCTATTGAGCTTGTGAGCCTAGGAGTATTCATAATGGAAGTGTGTCCTTTTCTTAGTTGTAAATCTCAGAGCACCTAAAATTGAATGGCTAATTAAACATTTGTACGTCTAGAGAGTTGAAGCAGATTAGACATGTGAGAGAGCTTGTACTGGCACTGTCGGAGGCATACCTGTTTGCTGGACAAAGGGGACTCCTGCTTTTTTCACAAGCATTTAAATTACTTCATGATCTTTTAAGGTGAATGTGACTTGAATACTACAGCTACTAAAATATGCTCTTCTCCCAGTGGGAATAGTTTTCACTGAAATCAACAAACCTTGCAGCAAAAATTGCCTATGGCATGTACTTTAGGAATAGAAAGATTCAGAGATTTAGCAGAGAAGTGGTGATTGGTCTAGGATAGGCATATAAGCATTGTCTACCCCAGGGGTCTCAAACACGCGTCCAGCAGGGTTATTTTCTGCGGCCCGCGAGCACCTTGCGGCCCCCTCCCCTCCTCCTGCCGCACCCCTCATCCCAACTCCCTGCCCTGAGCCCCCGCCACACCCCACACTCCTCCTGCTCCCCCTGGGGGCAGGGAGGGTGCAGAGTTGGGGTGGGGATTTCAGGGAAGGGGTGGGAAGAGGCGGGGCGGGGTGGAGTGGGGGCGGGGCTGAGGGCGGCAGGGGGGAGGTGTCAGTAAATGCGGCCCTCAGCCAATGTACTAGTCCTCATGTGGCCCTCGTGGTCATTTGAGTTTGAGACCCCTGGTCTACCCTATTCTTGCTGACTGAGGTGCAGCTGATGAAAGCAGTCCTCATATACACACACCACTGAAAATGGTATATATATATATTTTTTTTTATTCTGTCTTTCTTTCTGTCTTTTCCATCCCCCTTCTGATGGCTTTGTCTGCAGGCTAAACAGCCCCTTTGTCCTCCGTAAGCCTGCAGACCACCACAAGAGCAGCAGGGCAGTGAAACTGCTTTAGCAAAAGGATTCTCCTCCCGCGCACCTTATGCATTGTTTGACAGTTTCTCTATCCCAGATGCTTTCACTGCTTCCATATCCCCAGCCAGCAGTACTCCTCCCTCTTCTCCCTTCTTGCTTCTATTCTGCAAAACCTTTGGAGGTTGATAGGCTGAGCCCTAAACCCCTGGGACAGCACAAAGCAGAATGCAGTCCTGACAATAAGGGCCCCACTGACCTTGCTCTGCATATGTGGTGAAAAAATACTATCTGTGGTGAGAGATGAAGGACTGTATAGTGGAGGATGGTGAAAAAGATAATTACAAAAAAAAATTTGGACTAAGGAATGTAGAAGCAAGACAAAAGGGCACTGGCGGGGAAAGACTAAAAGAATGGGATAGAGAGCTAGGAGAAGGCTGAAATATGATACATGTGTACTTCAATTAGGATTTTACAAAGGAGATGTAGGAGGGATGGGAAGGTGGAGAGCTTAGTGGGAGAAGCATGTTTGGCACAATTTATCCCTGGTAAATAGTGGTTTATCACAGCTGTCTTTTCTAATGTCTGTTCTCAATCTAGTCTCTTTGCCTTTTTTTGTCTCCACTCTTTAGAGGAGAGAGAGATCTTGCCATACACTATGTGCAGCAGGCACACTGTTACCTCTTGATCTAGATCTGCCCTTTTCTGTAAAAAATGTGTAACAAGGTGAAGAAGCACTTGAATGTAAAACCTGGTTAAAATTAACTCAATTGCACCAACTTATAATAAAAATTATCAATACTTTCTAGAGCAGTAGGCCCCTATACCACCAATGAGGGTGAACAGAGTTCAGTTAATCTTTGGCCAGCACTGGAGGCTGACAAGTGTTGTCTAAGCCTATGTGTACACTTAAAATTCTTTAGCAGCACAGTTGCAGTGCTGCAATTACACCACTGTAATGCTTAAGTGTAGCCACTCACGCAGCGATGGGAGGGGTTCTCCCGTCTGCATAGGTAATCCATCTCCCCAAGAGTCGGTAACCGGGTCAACGGAAGAATTCTTCTGTGAATTTAGTGCTGTCTGCACCGAGGTTTAGATCAGCATAGCTACATTCCTCAGAGGTGTGGATTTGTCACACCACTGAGCAATGTAGCTGGGTCAACTTAATATTTTTAATGTAGAGCTGGCCTATGTTTAATTATTTGAATATACAGTAATCTGTGGAGTCTGAGGTTTTGCAGGACAATTCACTCCCTAAATATAACAAGTGGCCGGTTTTCCTTTGATCTCAGTTAACCCCCGACATAAATCTTCAAATAAGCTGTTGTCACCAAATTCACTAAAATTTATCAGTGTTGGTAACAAGGAAAACCATCAAAAAGAAAGTGCCTACAGTACACTTCATCAGTCATGTGCACGACTGGTTTAATTTTCATCTGGTGGACATTGGTGTTCTGTGAGTTTCCCCACTTTGGAAGGGGGCTTAGTAAACTATTATCTGCTGATTTAATGTAAATATCCACCCTACTGCAGAGAGTTTATAGCAATAAATAAAGCTGGATTTTTTTTTTAAATGTGTGTTTCTAAAGACAGACAAGATATGTGAGGTAAAGTTTTTTTTATTGTACCAACTTCTGTTGGTGGAAAGGACAAGTCTTCACAACGTTGTTCTTCAGGTCTGAGGAAGGGGACCAGAATGTCCAAGCTAAGTCCAAGGTGGGACATACTGTTAAGCATGAGGGGTTCACATGTAGTGCTTAAAATAAAGTGGGAAATTAAGAGTTAGGCAGTAAGGTGTGTTACAGTTCTAATGAGCCTTAAAACCAGTGTCTTTTTAGTCTCGTTTTTAGTGACTAGCAGAGTTAAGAATTTAAGTTCTCAAGATCATCTTTGAAGGTGTTGTGCAGGTTTCCTTTGAGGTTGAGGACTGAGAGGTCAGACATGGAGTGATGGCTTTGTGAAAAGTGTTCACTCACAGGTGATGAGGTGTTTTTGTCTTTTTGTCATTTATCTTTTTTTTTGTGAGAGTTCATTTGAGAGTGTAGTGAATGTCTGGTTTCACCCACATTGTTTTTGTTGGGGGCGTTTGATGCTCTGGGGGAGATATCTCCACATGCCTTTCACAACATGTGATGTATCATCAATGTATATCAGGTATATCGTTGGTTTCATAGCACATTTTTCCAGTAATTTTTCCTTGGGGTGGCCCAGGAAGAAGTTGGCATACTGGTGAGCTGTCCTACTGCCCATGGTTTGGATAATGTGAAATTGTTGTGGGGAAGGATGGAGTGAAGGAGTTTGTCATTGTGTTTAGGGTGGATTTCCAAGTGTTGTACGTTATTTCGTAGGTATTTGAGACAGGCAGTGATGCCTGAAGATGGTTGTACCAGTGGTAATTAGGAACCAGTGGGTAGAGAATTGTGTGAGAGAAAAATGCTATTTCATTATTAAAGCTGTTCCTGACTTGTATCACTTTTTTGTTAACAAATTTCTGGATGGCTAAGTCAGTGGCTATTCATTTCTGCCATAAATGGTTGTAACTGCCCAAAGCCCAATGCAGTACTATTGGTGTAAATGGGAGTTCTGTCTGAATGAGGAGGACTGAAGAGGTCCCCTTAAATTGTTTTCCATATTGATGACCAGCCTATAATTCAGTCTGAGTATGCTTTTCTCTTTCTTAAAAAAGGCAGGAAGGGAGCACCATAGTACATCATTCCCCCTCAATGCATTGTTGCTGCAATAACAAATCAAGCACACACTCAAAAAAAAAATAGGGTGGTAGAGTAGGGTGGATGAAACTGGACAAACTGAAATTATAGATTAAGACAAGAAGGGACCATTGGATTTTCTAATTTGGAAAATTAAGGGTGTGTACTACCAATACTGCTGGGGAATTCAGACTGAATACTTTACCAGTTGCAGGCAAAATGACTTCAGTCAGTGTGTTCAGATTTTCTGTTTGAGTATAGCAAGTTAATTCTAGCAATTAATATCTCATTTTGTACACTAAGATATGTATATTAAGCAATTACCTCTCTATTAGTGCATTTTTGGAGACACTTTGTTCCGAGTATATACCAGTTGTTAACCAAATGCTAGTATTAAAATATAGGATTGTGTATTTGATCAAACTGCTTGTACTGAAGTGCATGCTTAATCAGAGTATGATTTGTCTTTGTAGTGGAGTCTTGTATACATGTATTTGACTTCCTGCTTATTACTTCTCTTACTGATTAAAATACACCTCTACCTCGATATAACGCTGTCCTCGGGAGCCAAAAAATCTTACTGTGTTATAGGTGAAACCGCGTTATATCGAACTTGCTTTAATCCACCGGAGTGCGCAGCCCCGCTCCTCCGGGAGTGCTGCTTTACTGCATTATATCAGAATTCATGTTATATCGCATCACGTTATATTGGGGTAGAGGTGTAGTAATACTTTGTGTTTTTGTTACTTGCAATATGGTATCGAATATTAAATTCAGTGTGTACATGTTCCTGTCAGAAATTCGTCAGCGGACCCCAGCTCAAAGAAATGTCTCTGCAGCCACCCCAGTAAGCCCTAAACAGGGATCTCCCAAAGCTCCAGGTCCACTAGCAGCATCTCCTGGTCTGCAAAGGGACGCTTCAGCTCCTGGTGGACCTCCAGAAAGAACCGTTGCACCAGCCTTACAGTCAAATGTGTTACCAAGACGTCCTGGATCCCCTGCTACTTCAATGCCTGGAATGGGTAAACAGAGCACTTAATGTTATTTACAGTTTATATTGTTTTCTCTGGTTACCAATAAAACAGGCCATTTTCAGACAGTATGGAAATGGCATTTCATTTGGAAATAGCAGAGCAGTTATCTGATTAAGCAGGAGTTCCATATTCAATTAGCCATAACTCTTTACAGCTGGCACCTTGTGATACTGAAACCTATTGCCTGAGCTCATTTAACTGTTATGGCTTCTTTGTTTAAATGGCAATAAAACTTTGCAGTATTCTGTAGTCAACAGTATAACATACCTTTTTATGTTCATGGTTTAGGAAAGCTCTAGATTTTGTATAAATCAGGTAAAAAGGAAAACGCTTTCAGTATACATTCGTTTCTCACTAAACTCTGCACATATTTTATTATGCATCTTGACATTTATTTAAATTTTTATTCTAGCAGGGTTGTTGATGCAGCATGAGTTATAGTGTAAAATACTGTGTACCCTAAAAAAATCTTTTCTGCTAGATAGATGGATTTTTCTAAAAATGGCATGTTAATTTGGTACTGTAGTCCAATAAAAGGGTTTAGCAACAGTTGCGATGTTTAAAAAATCGTGAGTTACACAAGATACTTCAAACTGTTCACTTCTGAATGGGCCTACTGTTTTGCAGATGCTTTTTTTCAGCTTAGTTCTGGGTCAAAACTCAGAATGGAAATTCTCCATGAAAAATACTTAGTATCATTCTTTGCAATTTAATCCATATTCTGTGGAGTAGTTTTTGTTCTCTTTATACTGTTGCCAAGAAGTTTTTTTAGCTGTGACTTCTTATGTCCCCTTAGTTTTAAGGTTTATAGTGATTATTTTAAGTTTTTGGCTTACATTAGGTAATAAAATATATCAGTACATTGATGATCTTTCTCTCTCTCTATTAGGGGAAACTTGGGCAATTTAATTTTGAAATGGATTTTTACTATACTTTAAAACAACTTAGTGGGATAAGATTTTAAATGGAGTAGGATTTAAACTTCTCACCATATTAAGTTAATTTATGCTGACCTATGATGGTAGCAAATTCTATAGAATGATTAGAGAAGGCACTTTAATTGTAATGCCCTGTTCTTGAACAATTAACTACTTGAAAATGATCTTTATGGTGAAACTTCCATTGTTGGTTCTGAGACAAAACTGAGGTGTTGGGGAAAGTTTTTAGTAAATCCTGATTAGCTTCTTAAGTTACCAAAGTGAAGTTTTCCCACCAGTAAATGTATTGCAGTGAGACAGCTCTACTTAATGGCAGTGTTTAACAAGTTTAAAATTGGCATGTATCTAAAGCATATGCTCCTTGTTGGGTTGCTGAAATAATTGGTTAAATGTTTGCTCATATTTAATTATTTAACTGTGTGTAATTTTCCTTAGCAATATTAAGATGTAGGCACATTGAACTAAATTGTGTTTATTTGAATTTGAGCTTCTAAGTATAGAACAGTGAAATAGGTATTTAATGGGTGTATTGCAATGCACAGTTGCTAGGTCTTTTAAGTAAAAAGAAACAATTAATGAAAGTTTTGTGGCTAATATTTTACATGCACAAATCAAATTGTTTCTTTTAGTAACTGACATGTTTCCCTTGCATATATGTAGTTTCTGCTCTGTGTGTGTGTGTGTGTGTGTGTGTGTGTGTGTATATATGTGTGTATATGTGGTGTGTGTGATATATATATATATATAAAAAAAATACGATGATTCACTTATTTCTCATATACAGAAATTGCAAACGCTGTGTGAGATGTCATGGTTACTGTGGAAGACATATCTTTGGATTTCCTGACTTTTGTGCATGTACACTCTAAACCACAACATTTTAGTCTAAACTAAATTCAATATCAGAGTAAATCTCTTTCCACCTAAGTTTATGCATCACTTGCAACAAATATGAATGGGTTTAATTATCTCTAAAGTAAGAATATTCATTCATTTTTATTACTGTATTTTGTAGAAGAGAATCAATTTAACATGAACCACAACAGAGCTCCCATATGTTTGAAAATTAATAACCAGCAGGTAGTTGAGAGTTTGCCAAGCTTTGCAAAAATGACCAGTCTTCGTACAATGATTGCTTCTGATGTTTATATTAATTACTGTTGTCCATAACAGCATGAAGACTAAGATGCATGGTTTGAGAGTTATTAGTATGCAAGTGATTGAAGATGCTCTTGTGGAGCATGTTCTCATGTTTAATATCTCTAGGTTTCTTTATGTATTTCTCTGCATTGACTATTAACATGTAGCAAGTAAATGTGCTTGCAATATAAAATGTTATGGAGAGTCTTATAATACTTTAAATGGAGGACTGAATTTTTAAGTATTATTACTAGACTATTTTAGGTGTTCAGTTTCTTTTCTTCCAGACTATATATGCTGTCAGTGTTCTAAAGCTTTATATTCACATCTGTATTCAGCTATGCCCACTCCTTTTTAATGGGAGTGTTTTGCCTCCGTGACCTTAAAACAGTGGTTCTCAAACTTTTCGTACTGGTGACCCCTTTCACACAGCAAGCTTCTGAGTGCGACTCCCCCTTATAAGTTAAAAACATATTTTTTATATTTAACAGTATTTTAAAGTGCTGCCTTTAGAGCTGGGTGGTGGCATAAGGCCCCACCGACCCTGCCCTTCTTAAGTTCCTTCTTACTGCCTGTGATGGTTGCTGGAACCTCTTGTTGCTTAGGCAATCTCATCCCTTAGTGGTTTTACTCTAAATTTATGTAAATAGATTAGTAGTTTGTTAGTTTAGATAATTTAAGTAGTTTTAGATAGTTTGGACCAGTGGCTCTCAACCAGAGGTACATGTACGCCTGGGGTTACGCAGAGGTCTTCCGGGGGTACATCAACTCATCTAGATATTTGCTTAGTTTTACAACAGGCTACATAAAAAGCACTAGTGAAGTCAATACAAACTTAAGTTTCATACAGATAATGACTTGTTTATATTGCTCTGTATATTATACACTGAAATGTAAGTAAAATATTTATATGCCAATCGATTTATTTTATAATTATATGGTAAAAATTATAAAGTAAGCAATTTTTCAGTAATAGTGTGTGTGGAGCTATCAGACCTTAGACATCGGCAGGCCAGCCCAACGGAGCTCCCACTGGTCTCTGGATTCAGGGCACTGCTCGTTGGGCCTGAGACGCCGATTGCCAGTGGCATGGTGCAGGCCCATGGAGGTGTGCCCGTCCCTGCAGCCCCGAAACCAGGACCCACCTAGCCATTCCCCCAGTGTTCGGGACCGCTCCAGAAACCAAAGGCGACGGTCCTGAGAGCCTCGCTACCAGTTGCTGGAGTGCTGGTATTGGTCACCATGGTTGGGCTGAAGTTCCCTGTTTCAGCAGCCAACACACTCCTGCTCTCGCTCGACGGACTGGCACCACTCAAGAAGCATGAGGCGTAGATTTCCAGGCCACCGTTGCTAATCCGCATGATCTCCCTGGCCTCCATTCCCTCCCTGGATCTGGGAGACTGGTACGCCGCCCTTGATTTGAAGGATGCGTATTTCCACATATCAATATTCCAAGGACACAGACAATTCCTGTGTTTCATGGTGGGTCCCGCTCATTACCTGTTCAGTCTGGCTACAGCCCTGAGGCTGTGTGCATGACAATGGTGGCTGCCTATCCAGGTTTACCCGTACCTCGATGACTCGCTCATCAAGGGCTGCTCCAGGTCTCAGATCCAGCGTGATGTCTCAGCACTGCGGATCATGTGCTGTGCCCTGGGCCTGTTGATAAACGAGGAAAAATCAACGATAATCCCGGTACAAAGAATAGAATTAATCGGGGCGATCCTTGACTCCACCTATGCCAGAGCATTTCTGCCACAAGACTGATTCGAGAAGATGATGAGTCTCATTGCCAGTGTCTCTGCGTATCCCCTCACCACAGCCCGGGTCTGCCTCAGGCTGTTGGGCCACATGGCAGCATGTACTTGTGTTGTCTGTCATGCAAGGCTCAGGCCGCAACCCCTTCAACAGTGACTGACAACAGTCTACGCCCTGTCCAGAGACCATCTGGAGAAGGTTGTCACAATCCCACCAAAGATACTAGCTTCTCTGCAGTGGTGGAACGACCCCAGGGTGGTGATGGCAGGAGTTCCGTTCGACCCGGTTGAGTGGTACTGATACTCACGGACAAGACAGCTTCGATGATCACATCAACAGGCAAGGGGGAGCCTGTTCATCAGCTCTCTGCCAGGAAGCACTCTGATTGCGGGACTTATGTATCCACTACAACATCCACCTTGAGGTGTCGGACCTCCCCAGCATCTGGAATGTGCTGGCAGATCACCTCAGTTGGTGGTTCTTCTCTCCCCACGAGTGGTCCCTCCATCCAGAGATCGTCCAAGTGCTCTTCCAATGGTGGGGAACTTCCTGAGTGGACCTGTTTGCCACCAGACAGAACAGGAAGTGCCAACAATACTGTTCCTTCCAGGACCTAGGCAGGGACTCAGTCTCCGATGCCTTCCTGCTGTTGTGGGAGGGGGATCTGATGTACTCATTCCCGCCGATTCCACTCATCAGCAGGATCCTAGCAAAAGTCAAAACAAACAAAGCACGGGTCATCATGATCTCTCCAGCATGGCCTCGCCAACACTGGCAAGCTCATGGCTCTGGCAGTGGCCCCTCTATGGCCACTGCCCAGACCTCCTCTCACAAGACCACGGGCAGGTCCTGCACCTGAACCTTCACTTCCTTCATCTCATGGCTTGGTTGCTGCACGGTTGAACATGGAGAAGAGGGCTTGCTCCAGCCAGGTACAGCAAGTCCTCTTGGAAAGCAGAAAGCCCTGCACCACAGCGACCGACTTACTTAGCAAAGTGGAAGCGATTCTCCTGTGTGGCATTTCCCCAACAAGGTCTTTGCAGTCTATCCTGGATTACCTGCTGTACCTTAAGCATCAAGACCCTGCTTTTTCCTTTATCAGGATGCAATTGGCAGCGATATTGGCCTTCCACACCAGGGAAAATCGGTGTT